GTGTTCCTCTGTTGCATCCAATTATGCATGGAATCAGTGGAAGATAAAATTCTTCAACAAATCAGCAGTTTTCATGATCGTCTAGCTGTTTGTTTGATGAGGCCTCTTACTGAATAATTTGTTGGAACGTGATTACAATTATAATATAGATGCTGATTTTGATGCTTGTATTCAATAATAATATGGATAGGGATTCGTAAGAGTGAGGAATAAAGAATCGTAATAACAATAATTCAAATTCAGATATGCATTACTGCAATTATCGCTCAATAAAATTCGCTATCCTGCACCATTGTCATCGCCGATTATTCCAATTTACACGGATCAAGAAATGTTATTCAGGTGAGCGTTCTTAGCACACTTGTTAATCTTGTGGTATTCTCAAGCTGTTTTGGCAATTGTTACTCTGCACGCAATCACATTTGATGTGAATATTCAACCAATTCAGCTATATGATTGCGAAAGAACTTGAAGCTGAATTAGCCGAAGCAATGGGTCGTTCTAAATGGGAAGACGTTGAAAGTGGTGCTCAAAAAGCCGCTGAGTGTCTTTCTAAAATAACCCCTGAATATAGGCGAGTTATTTCAGTTTTGATGTAAATTTTCGCAGCTCCCACTTTATGTGCCTAAAGATTCAAAAATTTTCACGTGTTCTACCATCATCTACGATGTATTATTTCGTTTCTTGATCGACCAAAATCTTCAAGAAGTCATGAAAATGCGATTGAAATGGCACTGTTGAAAGATTTCTCATTCTGACTATTATCAAAAAAATAAAATTTATTCTCATTTCAGAATCCGATGCGAGGCACTTCCTCCATATTTACGTCGGTATACCGACATCTGGGTGTATACTCGGTGAGATGATAGAGATTTCACACGCTTTCTTCATTCGTCTATTGAAACTAGCCTGAATGCTGCAGCACTCGCATGAAATTCTTATTCAAAGATTTCGATCAAAAATCTTAATTTCAGTATCGAATTCACTCACAATCGGTCTATAAATCATTGTATGACTTACTGTTGCGCCTGTAGGAATAGACTGTAATGTAAAATGTGGTTCATTCACAATTCATAACATGAAGTGCATAATGATATATTCCATAAAATACTTCACACATTAGATGGTAACTGATGATCATATAGCTGATGAACTGAATGTGAATCCACATTTAATGGTCGATAGTTATTGTCATGAACGTTTAAGGTGCATGTCGTTCGGCACCGAAGCGTTGCAAAGACAGCGAAAATACAAAGAAGCCGTAGCTTGGTTGAAGCGTTTACTCTATTCTGAAGGTTCGTCTGTAGTGGTTTTATTTTGTCAAATACTTCGCTTATGTGTGAAGCTGTATGTCATCTGCGGAATGCTGTTTAGCAATATTCGGAACTGTTTTGTGAGGGATGTGTTTTCAGTGCACAATATCAAATGTAGGATCCATTAAACGAGATTGGTTATGAGATGAGTCTAGGTGGATTTTTGAAATCATTTCAGACATGAAAAACTTCGTGATGGATGCTCGAGGTGGTTGGTGGGATCGATTGGCGCTGAATCTTGATTCACATTTGAATCGAAAGTCGGAAGCATTCCAGGCGATTCGCGCTGGTCTGGAAGACGCCTGTGTTGGCGATAAGGATAGATTGCTACTTCAGGTATTTGGACGAATTGTCTCGTAATGGGGTTCAGCAAAATTGAATTTATTTGAATTTCGATATTTATTCGATATATTTAGTCATACGTATGGCTGGACGCGTGAAATTTCTTGCAAATTTATCATTGTGACATTATCCTCTCTCACTTAAAGGACCGTGGTGAGAAGATCGATGCAAATTGGAAGGGACCATTGAATGTGCCGGATCCCGAGCGCGTGGATATTTCCGGTTCAACTCTGAGCAAAAACCTTGGCGATTCACGTTCAAATCGATTCATTATTACGAGGTTCTGTGTTTTTTGGGCGCGGTTGGATGAGTTGTTAGTGCTGTAAAAGTCGAGGCTTACTTCGCTGTTTCGCTATGTCACGTTACTGTAACTGTCAAGAATTTGTTTATTTGTTGTGGTTAATGACATTCTTAGATTTTGACTGTGTTCACGATTTCTTACTCAATAGCATTCATATAGCAATAGTGGCTGATTGTTTAATTTTTACGAATTTCTATCGTCCTAAATTTTTGATTCACAATGTTCAATGTAATATTTCTTTTCTTCAGCACCGATACACACTACGAGTGTTCTGTTGAAGGAGTCGCCTTGAACCATTACTTAAAAAATGGCTTCAAGGAAGGTATGAGACTTTACATTTATTACTTTCTAACTATCGTCTGTTGGGTAATATCGTCAGCTTTTGATCGTATCAGTTCGAAAATTGTTGAATGTAGGCGCTAGAAGTTTCCATCGAGTTTTGGACGTTTTATGTTGCAAAATAATTCGTTGTTGACTGAAAATCAGACTATTGGGAGTGAGAGTGTTCCATTCTGTCAAATTTTGGAAAATGTACGAAATCATTACAGGCGTTCATGCCGAGGGCAGTGTATGGCACACTGTATATGGTTTACTCTGTTACGATATCATTTTCGATGATCACGTCAAAAATGTTTGGTTCAGTGAGACTCAGGTAAATTTTTAGGTGTTCTAGTTCATGAATGTTTTGACTGTCGCCTGCTCAACATTTGCCAGCTACGAATCGCCTTCTGATTTGAGTCATCCTAGAAATT